CATTACTTCGTCTCTATATCTGAAAAAATAATATCGTAATTAAAGGAAGGGTAGAATCTGTTTAATTTTCAGCAAATCTACTTGTTCTTGTGTCCCTCTGTCATCCCTCTCTCCCTCTCAGTCTGTCTGTCAGTCTTTTTTTGCTTTCCCTGTCTCTTTTAATTTGAAGCTGTTCTGTGAAATACCTTGTAAAACGATCGAAATTTGAAAAAATAACGTCAACGTTCCTCTTTTTTTTCGCGTGGCCCGAAAGCCAGAAAGAAGGGAAACACAGACGCATATATGGTAAAAGCTTGCCGCCAGCTTGCTGTGACATCATGGCTGCATGAAGTGGCTGTTGATTGGTCAGTTATTTTAATCTACCCGAATACCACGGATACTTTCTGTACTCATAGACAAGGACATAATGATGGTTTCTTTCAATTTGCCGTCACAAATAATAGGGCTTTATTTATAATTTCTGTTTTACGTAAATTTAGTGCTGATATGGACTTTAAAGATACCTGCATGTTATATCATTCAAGTATTTACAATGCTTTTGACAGAATCAGAATGAAAGTTATTTAGAGAGGTAGATTTATTTATTTTATTTTATTTTTATAGTAGAGGGTTTTACGGCACTCGCAACTGCATATGGTCATATGAACGCCAAGGGGTGGGTGTCAACAGAGAAGTCTTTAATTTACAGGGAATCAGACTTACACTGCTCACCTCTCTGACTTCAACTGCACAAGGTCTGTTTCGACTATCAAGGCACCCCGGAAATAGCAGAGGTCACAAGAGAGTGGCAAACATACAAAAGAAGTAAAGGAAAATGACAATAGTAAGGATCATGAAAGAAAAAGCAGCAGTTCCCTGTTGTAGATCAGGCACAGTTATAGAGCGTGACATGAGTCAGTCCATTTACTATGCTTGAACGAGAAATGTCCCCCCTTTGGGAATGGCCTAAAGACACTTCAGTCAGTGGCACTGCCGCGGGGGGTAGAGGTAGATTTATGCATACATACATTGTAGAACTTATTCATGATGAAGTAGAAGTGCAATAGGATAATTACAGAATATACACACATATCAGATCAACATGAAAGCAATAATGTAATTCTAAGGCATATTTTCATGGTATACAAGGGGGGTAGGAACATATTCTCTAGGCTAAAATAACTACAATGTATGTATTGAGCATTTGGTCAATTAGTCATGCACGTAATCAAGTTGAGTTTATAGTATGAAATATGAAATTTTAAAAGAATAACTTTTGGGCTTAAACTGGGGAGGTTAAAAGTCTAGATTCCACATTATTGAGGTAAGTGAGATTCAACTAAGATGAACTGAAATTATTGATTATAAGTTAAAGTACTTTTCGTGATTTAGATCCAGCAACTTTCTGCTAGCTTTGTGAACGGCAGCATATGTCACACTTCTTTGGTTCATAGCTAAATATAGAAGTTAAAT